ACTTACCAAACATCTCTTTTTATTATAGAATTAATCAAAACTGTCATGTAACTATGGATATCAAGTTGACATTACCATCGGGTTGAGCGGCTCGCCCACCTGTCTTCAAGCCAACCGACACGGTCACAAACGTGACGCTATGATGGATACAACGTGACTTTGGAAATAAGCATTTTGACGTACATTTTTTTGTCGGAGTATAATAATAATAACTTTATTGCAAAACACATAAAAACAGGTACAAAGTTATGCCTAACTCTCAAACTTGACTCCCTTATGGTATGAGTTGGTAGGTCTCATGTCCAATCACATTTGTTGTGAATTATTGTTCTTAAATAACCCAACGTTTTGGACCCTTTACAGGATCCATGGTCACGACTGAGATGGTAAAGTCATCAACCAACTAATAATATGCAAACCTCTTTGTTTCTCATTGTGTAGATTCTGCCACGAGGCGGATGAAACTCTGTGTATCTCCTCATCCAATGTTGTCCCCTGGTACGAAGTTCCATACTGGTAAGCCAGAGGACTTAAAAACTGTTGGAGCCAGAAAAGGTCATTAATGCTGTTGACGTTGACTTTAACTGTATTTAGTGGTGATGAGTTAATTACAATAGATCAGTGAATGGGCGCACTGATGAGTGGCCGCGTAGGCCCTTCTGTTGTACCTAATAATATTTCTCATTATTAGGTACAACAGTTATTATTTTTAACCGACTTGAAAAAGGATAAGGTTCACAATTCGACTGTATTTTTTTTAGCATGTGTGTTACACGATCACTTTTGTGAACCGATTTCGATGATTCTTTTATTGTTGAAAAGAGGGTACCCCAGTGTTGGTTCCATTTAAATTTGAAGAAAATGTTCCACCTCTAAGGGTGGCAAACTAAGGGATGAATCCGGTTTTGCGCACTTTCAGGTAACCGATTTCAATAAAACTTGGCAAATAGATGTAATTCCACGAAATTTTGAGGCCGTTTTTTTTAAATAATAAAGTTATAAATACCTTATTTTTAAAAACAAAAATTTACGCGATTTAAATCCGGAAAAATAGTTTCATTTCCTATACCTTATTTTTATTTACCTTATACGTATTGTAATGTTGGTTTATTTGATAAAAGTAATATACGCGGTTTAGATCCGAAATATTCGTTTCACTATTACAAAGAATTTATAAAGCATACATGGTAAGACACAAAAAGTAGATGGTTTACAATTTAACTTAAGTATATAGACATTGATTTTCAAAAACTTATTTACGGTATCTACGGCCGCGCTTAGTCTGGTGCACTTAGTAATTTTCACATTAAACTAACCTTTGACGCAGTGTTCATAAACGATCGACGAGATTTCTGTTGACAAAACAATTAGAAACTCAAAATCGGACCATAATGGGGACATAGAAGCTGCCACCTTACCTATTTCTGCCGCCAAGCGGTAATCTAAGCATTACCGTGTTCCGGTTTTAAAGGGTAACCGGTAAAATCACAGACTCATTAGTTTAACATGTGTTTCAGGGTGACGGGCACAGTGGCAGTGCCCCTAAAATCTGCAATTTAAGTGGCATTGTGTGTTTAAGTGGCATTGCAACTGCTATGTACAGGCGTATCGCTTACCACCAGGCGTACGGCTTGTTCCCGACTTAGTACTGTAAGAAAAGCAAAAAGTCGTCTGCAATTCACATTTTCACGTAATATGAGTTTCTACAGCTGTGTGGTCATAGAAGTTTTCGTTGGTCATCTACACGGTGTTCAACTTTAGAAAGCATCTATAATACCCCGTTTCGATTCTCGTATTGTTCTCGATCCACAATAGTATTATAGGATAGCACTCGCACCGTTTTCACTTCCGCAATGCGCGGATTTCGTACGAGTATCATTTAAAAACCATCCACATCCGTTTCGAAAAATGTTATGTGAATTTCAAACTATTCTTCTAATACTCTATTGTTTTTCTTACAATAGGATGATTATTATTGGTCTGCTCTATTTCTCTTGACAAAAGCTGTGCTCGGTAGTGTGTCAGCCAAAGTTGTGCAATCAATGGGCGCACACTGACTGTGCACGAATACATGAACTATTTCTAGTTACTTTTAACCCTCAATAACATGGAATCTATTTCACGTACACGTTTGTAATAGCAATAACGCACGCACTCATAGTCACGCACTAGAGAAACCCTGTATAGCTGGTACCATGGACACATACATAGACATCCTTCAAAATACACCCAAACTCACGAGTAAATGTAGGCGGAATGTTAAAGTAAATTTGGTTTATCTTATGATGCCGTTCCCAATTGACTGGAATTCTAAATTTTCTATAAAAATGTGAAATAGTTATCGGAATATTCAAGTTTGAATATCTCGAAAAAGACAATGTACAGTATAGCATTGTGAAGTACAAAATTTTGTAAACTAGCAAATTTTTTTCTGTTTATGTTTTTTTAAATAATTCAAACGTTAATTAAGCGTAGAAAAATTGTTCTGACAGTAAATTTAAAAATCTTTTATTTCTCTAGGTAAGTTTCAGAAACTTAAATTCAAGTTAGCACTCACCAATCTTTTTATCGACGAAGCCTATAAATTGATTTATTTGTTCTTTATTCTGAACTTGACAGTTTTTTTACATACATACTTTTGTTTACATTTTTGCTATATATAAATACAAATGTTTGAATGTTTCTCTCTCTCATTAGAAGAAAACTACGGAGCGTTTATGGATTGATACAGGAATGTTTAGACATTTAGTTAGTTAATCAATGAAATTGCAAAAGTAGCACGAATTTAAATTAAATATAAATTAGGTCTGTATAGTGAACCTGATCAAGTCTGCTAATCTTGTTGCAATCACTGGTCATTGTAATTTCATTGATTATATTGCAATTATGATAATATTTTAATGCAACTGCCTCCGTGGCCGAACGGTTGCCATGCTCTGCTGCTACGCAGATGTCCCGGGTTCGATTCCCGAGCCGGAAGAACTATTTGTATGACTTACCTACATTTATTTCTCTCGTGTGTTTAGGTGTAATTTGTGGTTGTCTATATGTGTAACCATGGCACCCGCGATACAGGGTCACCCATAGTGAGGGGCTATGAATGTGTGCGTTATTTTATTTATTTGTTATTCGAATTCTAAAATCTAGTTGCAGCAATGGAATGTCAAAAGAATGACAGAGATGACATTCATTCATTCAATCACTAATGATCGATGTCGCCTCAAAAATACCATACCTGTTAAATATCTAGTAGACAACTCCATCGCCTCGCTATTGAAAAGCAGAATACTAAAAAATGTCTTTTGAGTAGTATCTCGATAGCTACCCATTGACAAGCCTCTATTCTTATGTTCAATATTTAATGTGTAATGTTTTTCTATGTGCAATGTTCTGAATAAATAAATAAATAGTACAGTGAAATGCCTTCCTTTGGAGATCAGATGATTGCTGTACTTGTCTGAAACTGTAACTTCCTGAAATCGGTTAATTCCATCCGTCCAGCCAGAGAACACAGCAGTTTCATTCTCCACGAAGCTAAATTAAATTTGTGTTATACAAACTTGCATGTCACCGTGTGTATAATTTACTGGAACTTCGTGCGTCACGTTTTTTTATTTTTGCCTGTGATTCACCGTAAAAAATATCCAAAAATAATTGTTGTTGAATTTAACATAAAAAGTGTTTGGCAATTATCGTTATAAAATATTAAATACGACCTACTTTCGTAATTTAGAAACATCGCATTCTCAATAATAAATCGTGAAGGTGGTGAAATTACAGGCACATGGGACTTGTCAACTTAAGACTCAGGGCGACAGGCGCAGTGGCAGTGCCCCTAAGATCTTTGCAATTTAAAGCTCTGAGTTTCACTGCAACTGTTATGAATATGCGTGTCACTTACCACCAGGCGCATGACTTGATTTTTCCTCTCACTTAGTGTCATAAAAAGAACAATTTTTTTTAAAAAAATATAAAACTGTACTAATGTTCAATTTATTTTATTTACTTATGTTCACAATGAAGAAGCATTGTGGTGAAGCCTATTTATTACTTTAGAGAAAATTCTTTTAAATTTTCGAAAGTTTGTCAAGTACCCAAAGAAGCTCCTTGTAGGAAATCTGTGCCTAAAATAATAATGTCTTTATTTAAATACATTAGCCTTGTAAATAGTATAAAGTAAAACAAGATTTATGAGAGTGGATAAAATATATCAAAGAGATAAAAGAAAGGCGCAATAAGTTTAAGAGCGCATTTAAAGTAGATGTTAGTAGAAGCGTTACAGTCACGCGATTGTCGCGCATCTGAAGCACGACCAAATTTTTAGTGACGTTTCATATTTGAAATCTGTTACGTGATTGTTTCTGACCTGGTGGAAGAAGAATAAAAAATATATTTGAACGTCTTTTACAACCTTTATTTTGTCAAAATATTCTAAATTAATACCAGTTTTGGCAATATGATGATATTTTTATTTAGTTTTATGTGAGAATTAAATTTAAATCGTGTTAATAGAGTCTTTAACATTTTGGAAAACCACATTCAACGACAAAAAACTATTTTCGAAAATACTTAAATATTTCTGCCGAAAAGAGACTTAATTACGCTGACGTTAGAAAAGTCTAATTTCACATTGTCGATAGAATCTCCGATTTGAAGTTTATCGTCATACCTAGCTGTGACTAAGTAATTTTCAGATTAGTTCGAGTATAGGTAGAGAGAGGTCGAATACTAAAAAAGTTGCCACCTAAATTAGGTAGAGTAACTTACCAGAAAATTACTGCCGCCGTTTTTTGAAAGGGCGCAAGTGACATTTAAAAAAAAAATGGTTATATATGCTGCCGCGATCAGTAAAACCAGGACGATCTGTCATTATTTTTATTTTACCCTAAGTAGATAAGATATGAAGTTATCGCTAGAGAAAAGTAGATGTTTTTAAAATCTTATTTCTTTAAACATTTTCTCGCTTTTGAGTTTTTGTCACAAGCGCCCTTTCAACTAACAGCGGCAGATATCCGACTACAACCGAAGCGCGAATGACGCACCACTGTATCGCATCAAGCATCATGTATGATTTAGTCGCGCTTCTACGAGCGTCCAATTTGAACTCGCCTTAAGAGACTGACTCCTAAACGAGACAAGCTTTTGAAGTCTTAGGAGGCAACGTAAAAAAACAAAATTGACAATAATGTACAATAATACACTTATTTTTATAAGTGAAACCTTTCAAGGAGTACGCCATTGATTTTATTTTAATAAGCGGGCTTACTGACGCATCGATACTTACCTACGGGTGTCAAGTTTCATTGTAAGTCTAGATTGTTTTGAAAAGCTCATGTTTCTAAGGCCTTGTCTTGTCAAATACTTGTTAGGTGTTTTGCTATTGTTTTGTTCGTAAACAAGTCTTCCTCCTTTGTTCGTATTTAATAGGATACTTTTTGACGTGTTCTTTAGCGTTAAGGAAACCAAACAATCAAGTAAGCAATGGAGAAGTCGCGTATCAGATTTACTTTTTTTTTATAATACTACGTAACGAGACGAACAAGTCGTGCGCCTGGTGTTAACCGACACGCCTATCCATAACAGTTGCAATGTCACTCAGAGCTTTAAATCGCAAAGTCTTAGTCACCCTGAGACATAAGTTGCGAAGTCCCTTGTGCCTGTAATTCCACCAACACCTAACCCTTCCAAACTGGAACGCAGTAGTGTTCAAATTATTGCTTGGCGGCAGAAACAGATAAGGTGCCAGTACTTCCTTAGACGAACTCTTTGATAAGGAGCTCTACTGCTGCTAATTAACCCACATCTGGGCACTGTTCTCCTGTAAGCAGAAACTTCGCACGTATTCCAAGGGTTATGAACCTTCTTCGACATGCAGGTTATCTAATGATGTCCTGTGATCCTTCACTGTTAGCGAGATATGTTGCTAATAAACATTCGACTCATAAATGTACTTAGAAATTGAAATCATATGTACATGTCATAACAGGGATTCCAACTTTCAACCTCTCATTTGAGAAGCAACAGCTCTCCTACTAAGCTACCTAAACCTGACAATAAAAAATAGGAAATATAAATTAGTAATAAAACAATCATGTGACATATATGAATAGCCCTCGCTGACATTCTGCCTTAGCCCCGTAATAGTAAAGAACGTAAATAAAACCGTCAATTAAAAATCTATATTATTCATGAACTGCACATATAGTACAAATGAAAAGACACCTGCATCTCCAATGCGTGATCATTTATTTGATATTTTGTTTATAACATTGAAGACCACCGATACCACTCTCTAGCGACAACGACAGGCAGTTTTTTTTAGTAGCAGTAGAGCTCCAAGTGAAGGCGTTCCTCTAAGGAAGCACCTATTTCTGCCGTTACGCAGTAACGTGAGCGTTACTACTGCATTTCGGTTTTGAAGACTAAGGGTGCTGGTGAAATCACAAGCACACGGGACTTGTCAACTTGTGTATCAGCTCAACTGTCTTAGCTGCCGTCCACTAACTAAAACGCTAAGTGACAAATGGTCAAATATCCGTTTTAAATAGCGAAAAATAAAGCACAACATTCTCTTTTAAAAACAGTTAAAATTAGTTAACGTGTTCGACCTAACGGAAATATCATTAAACAATTTCAATATTCTAAAACTGAGTTATGGTTTTTTATGAAATCTGAAAAAAAAAATCTCAGCCGCGTTTTGGTTAGACAAGCGTGTCGCTGGCTTGTTCGTCCCGTCTCTTGATATCATAATAAAAGGCTGATGTTGTCCTGTCATACTTTTGAACAAGAATCACTTTCTGAGTAGCAGACAACAGTGCACCACGCTGGCCTGCGGGCTTGTTATCAACAATCGCAACAAGTTGACACTTCATATACATAAATATCCGTTGTAATAAAAGCAGTTGATTCGCAAACTGCTCTTATCGCACCGTGTAACACTAAACACTCGTTGCTCAAACTTGCACACCACTTGCATATTGCAAATATGAACGCCATGTCGGAATAAAATTATGACGACATTTTAGCGCTTTATAACTTTCTATTTTGGTCTTACAACATTTATGTCTTTCTTTTTTTAATGCCTAACATGACATGCGTTTGTACGTAGTTTGCATGCACGACTGACTACTGTGGTTCAGTGAATAGCACTACGGGTGTTTAGTGAACAGATCCTGGATTTAATTCCTGTTAGGGTCTAATCTTTATTTCATAGGTAAGCATTATTACACTTGAAATCGTCACATTGGTTAAACTCAACCGCTCATTCGTAAGGCAGATTCCCCTGAGAAGAATGAGCTAGAAACTAGGGGTTACTCTTTTGGTGTCTCAGGTTTCTCTATTACTCAGTTCAGAGAGTTCGAGATCAGACAATCAGACTCCCACCTGACTTGAAAGAAAGTGACGATGAGATCGACGATGGAGCGTGCACATCTGTGTATTGCCTATTCACTCACCTTGAAAAGGCGTAAGTTATAGCGTTCAAGGAACATTATCTGAGACTTTATTATGATTGTAACCATTCGTAGTATTACTAATAATTTCATATAGCTGAAGCCGATTAAGATATCGTTTAGTTTTAGAATAAAAAAACACGTTACAAAAATCTTTAACCAAAATTGAACAACTTCGTAAACCTGAGTTGGCTTTAACATCACGTTTTCTAACGTAGCTTGGTATAAATTATAACCTGTACCTTCCGTGGCTGGCCTTTTACTGGCAGAATTCACGGAACGGAGACATGGTTCACGGTAATGGCGGCTCTTAAGCAAATGAAAACTCGATTTTATGACGCTTTCTGTGAAATTACGTAGCCGTAGAGGAAGAAAATTTTTAAATTAGGCGACTTTTGCGTTGTAGATTTTTTCGTTTTCTTTGTTAAGGATCGACAGGTTTTATTTCAAAAGGAATTGATGAGATTTCTGTAGGTCAACTTTCTTTGTTTGGCAAAGTATATATAAAATTCGCATGTCTGTGCGCTAATTGGCGACGCTATAATGGCACATTACACTGTGTATAATGTCTTCAAATTCTAATACCATAAATAAATAAACATTAAGCGACATTACATACGTTACTTTGATCCCAAAGTAAGTAGCTAAAGCACTTGTGTTATGGAAATCGGAAACAACGACGGTACCACAAACAACCAGACGTAAAAGACGACAGAAAAGTTAGTTTTCTACACTGACCCGGCCGGGGATCCAATCCGGGACCTCGAGAGATGGCGACAACATGAAAACCGTGTGCAAGCCACTTGACCACCGAGGCCGTCTAGACCATAAATAATGTCTATTTTTGATTTACATTACAAATACACTGATACCGAAAACTTTACAAATATTTTTGTATACATATGCCCTAGACATTGACTTGAAAATATTTACGACTACTATCCAGCGATCTCCGATGCCAAGTCCAGGAGGTTTTTCACACTTATCAGCCCACACCCATAACTCAACACCTAACACACACTCTCACACACATACGCACACACACAGACACACACGCAAACACACACACACACACACACACACACACACACACACACATACTCATACACACTCATTCTTCAAGTTAAATATTAGCATTTTATTGTTTTCCCATCAGTTAATTTTTGTTTTGCTCCCTTCAAATGTTTTGCTGTATTATATATAGGTATTAGGAACCCATCCAATTGAGCCTTTGTCTCTTGAGATAGAGGTTTTACCTAGTTCAAGAGTCAGTGTCGTCATTTGCTACTTCCTGTTCCACTTTCTGTAAGTAATTGTATTTCTGAAATCGATGTATAACATGTGATTGTAATTTTTGTAAAAATTTTGTGGAAAAAAAATATTATTATTATTTCAATGATACAGAGTACATTGTTTCATCGAGTTGTTAGGTTTTCGCGATTGTTACACGTGTAGAAAATGAAACTATTTTTTCGGACGTAAATCGCGTATATTTGTTTTTTCAAATATTCCAACGTTTCGGAATATTATTATATTCTCGTTCTCCGTCCAACACCCGTCCGGAACAATTACTGTCAAATAAATAATACTCGATCGAATTAAATGATGCATGATGCGAATGAAGCTTCACACTTGACATTGTTTTTTGTTTTGGTGGTGTATTACTTATTTGACAGTAATTGTTTCGGAAAGATGTCGGACGCAGAACGGGAATCAGACCCCAGGTCCCATGGTCACGGCTTGATGACTTTGTTTTATTTTTAGGTTTAGTAAATATCTTGATGTCATATTATGAGACCGCGCAACAAATTGAGTGATTCTTTTAGAAATTTATAAATTGTTAGCTCGACACAATATGGCAATAAGAGTCTATAACAAAATACCTCTTAGAATAAGAAATATTGAAAATAATTACGTATTCGCAAATGTTCTGAAAGGTTACTTGCTCTCGAACTGTTTCTATGACTTAGAGGAGTATTTCGATAGTAAAAGTACATGATATTATGTGTATAGTATAGTAAGTTCATTGCAGTGCCGTACAGGGTTTATGTTGGAATATAATAATAGCTTTAAGACCTTTTCTACCACATAAAGCAATAAATGATATGATTATATGATTATGTAAGCAAATTGCACTTGAAAACGTTGAATTAATTAAACACTGCTATTGTAAGGATTCCTCAGAGAAGAATCAGTACAGTTGCTCTTTGTAAATAGCTATTTGTTCACGTTTATCATTTACGATATTTTAAAATATCCATAGTCGGAAGCAGCCCGGGGGTCTAACATAACCTTTCCAAAAACAATGTTATTTCAATGTAAGCATACAGTAAGCTTAATATAATATTTCTCATATTCGTACCATGACAAATCTGTCAACCAAGTAATGTATTATGCCAAAAGTGATTGAAAGAACGAATGATTTCCCAATATTGTCTATTTTTTTACTAAAAAATGGAAAGAAATAACTAATAACGAAATAATTTTTGATGTTCCGAATCGTCTTATAGTAGAATAATGTTCAAGTACTTAATGTTATTTACATTCAGAGAATATTAACTGTTAAAAAAAGAAAAGTATTTAATAGTAAAATCTATTAAAATTACGTTGTTTTCAATTATTTTTCCGCATTTCCATGAAGAAAAATAAATGAAACAAGCTGAGTCTTATAGTTACGTTGTGAATTCAGAATTATAGTCTAGTGTCAACTTTTAGTGTCGCCAAGGAGCATTATAGATGTCGCTGTTATAATTTTACGAAATAAACATCGCGTATTTTTATTTAACGAGAAATTATTTCCAATGTAGGTACTATTAAATAAAAAAATAAACAAAATATTGAAGAGATTTATGTAAATAAATAAGTCCAACATAACTTTTAATCATTACAAATCAATACTTAGACAATAAATTCGAAAATAATATTGTTTCCACTGCGTCCGAGTAACAATTTTAAGATTGCTAAATTTGATATAAGAACAATATTACTTTAAGCGCGTCATGGTACGAAAAGTTAATGCAAGGTTAAAGTAATATTGTTTTAAGAGGTTGTGGTAGGCCTCCTGAAAGATATTGAAACGAGAGAAACGATCAATCCATTGTTGGTGTTCTAAAGTTCTGGTATTTACGATATCCTGTTTGTTTCCGCAGGGAATGCATGTCATGTACCCTGAGCCGCCGGTGCAATATCGCAGCAGTCAGCCCCAGAGCACGCACCCCGATTGCCAGCCGGCCGAGTCGCCGGCGCGCCAGCCAGCCAAAAAGCGTCGCGTGGTGAGCCCCAACGCGCATCCACACACACCGCTGTTTTCGCAAGACAACACCTACAAGGTAGGATTATCCCCTCATTTAAATGTTAATGCCTCCGTCGCTTTCGATTACACCGATGAACGAATCTAATTTTGTAAACGAGTATCACACAATTAGATTGCAAATTTCCTTAACCAGATGCTTTTGGATGTAATGATATTAATCTACCAAATAACCACGTCAAATGTTTTGGTCTTAATTACTTACTTCGCTGGCTCAACGACTCGAAGTGGATCCTTCGATCTTTCTTTCAAATCCAGCTTCTTCGGCTGCCATCAGATTGACTGCATGTTTGCAGTTAATGCGTGAAGTCGTAATCAACTTCATGCCGCCGAGATCACAACTGCATGAAGTTGATAACGACTTCACGCAGTAGCTGCATGAAGCCGGTTTCCACTGCATGCAGATAATGCGTGAAGTGGTTATCAACTTCATGTAGTCGAGGTCACGGCTGCCAATGCAAACATGCAGGCAATCTGTTAGCAGCCTTCTGGTTTTTGGCTGCTTCATCCTTCCAACGATATCTTGGACGGCCCACTGGACGATAACTCGTACATTACCCCAAATATGCTCTTTCAAATTCCCTATACTATGAATAACGTGTAACGTAGTTAACTCCTGGGCACTATCCAAAAACTAAGAGAACGCAACCAATTCAGCAATTGGTTTTCCAGAATTAGTTCTACAGGATATAAGATACCAGGATTTTATCGTCTAACCAGCACGGTGGGCGCGGAGAATTCTCTGCGTCACTGAGATCGTGAATTGATATGCGAATACTATCTTTTATCAGATATCCTAGCTTAAAGGTTTTGAGATTGGTGACCGTTAGGTGTCGGTTTTCAACCAAAACATTCCTACTAGGCTTGCTAAGACTTTTTTCTTTAATAATTCCAATGAATATTTTGACGATGTACATCCCTAACGTTCACGTGGGTCAAGTGATGCAGATTTTCTACTCAGAAACGTCTTTCCAGTTATGCTTTCTATGCATGTGGAGTAGAAGTTGATGATATTTTCCTCGAGAAATTGTGGCTAAAGCGCTCGATTCTTTCTTTCTTGGTAGGAAGGTGAGAAGCAAAACATCAACAATACCAGCGAAAGCAAATTAAATTTTTCTGCGGTTGAATACTGTGCAATTTGATTTCAACTTGGTTAGTTTCCATTTTTGATGCTGTAACTTATTGCTAAGGATTCTTTGTCTAATTTCTTTTCCGTCTGTGAATGTAAGTTTGGAATCAAGTGACGTGAAGCTCAACCTCTGTTGTAATCCCTATCAAATTGCGATTTCGTTTAGTTATCGTTGACGTCACAAGTTTTGTTTCAATTTCTCGAAATTGCTGTTGCTGTTGAGTTGAACATCTTTAACTGACATTGAATTATCCTAACTATACATATTTATTTATCATAACCGATGACTGTCGTATCTTATCAATTTTTAAAGACGACACTCCCATTTATAATAGCGTATCGTGCTGTATAGATACGAGACTCCCAGATAACAACTTGTCTTGGCTTCACTTGTCTAACTACGTTAGGGCTATTTCAGCCTGATATAACATGACATTCTAGCCTCTGATGAATATTTATACACGTCGACACTGTCGCCTCCCATAAGGAGTGGTCTGATGGCTAACGAACCGTATATTTCCACTCAAATTACTACTTAAAGGCGTACGTACTAACCAAATATTCAAATATAACTACGCATTAAATTCAAAACTCGATTTCCAAAGTTGTCGCCGAAGGGACTATTGGCGAAATCTCATTAGCATTTTCACAACAAGAAGCTGAATGCGTCATACCATAAAGTAACTGTGTTTTCGAGTTTCATTTGATTAACGAAAGTTTTCGTTGATTTCCCAAGAGCCCAAAATATCGAACAAGCCGGGTTCAGTCAAACAAACAGCAGTGTTGACGTTAAAAATGAATGTTTGTCTGGAAATGTTATTGGGAGTACGTTGGCGATATCGACTCGACCTTCGTTATCGAGAGGGCTTCGAGCAAGCCGATAGAGTTACTTATTGTAAAACCAATTTTGACGAACGAATGACAAAAATTGTTTGGACATTTGATGAAAAAAACGTTTCGCTATGAACCTAAAGAGACAATGTTACAATTGCACAACCACTCCAAAAATCACGACCGGTCTTTCTGCATTTATTCGGCTGAAAATCGATTTGAATTCGCCAAACGCGTATCTTGACCGCTCATATTATCTCCACACGTAAAACAAACATTACTCATTTAAAAACATCCTTTCTTGAGTTATCGCAAACACAATGCAGCGGAGCATCTGTCACGAGATGGTCTCTTTACCGTTAACCAACATCTGGGGCACTTTTGAAAGTATCGCTGCGGCGCCTTGCTTTACTACGCAACCGAAATGGATTGCAGTCCTTTATTGTGCATTTTTTATCACTACATCGGATTACATTACAGACAAGTAGAAATTAGACGCACTAATTGGAGTAGAAACAGTCGCTCCACTTCAGCTGCCGCTGTATTCAAGGTCTGATACTTTTTAAAGACCTTGCATATAATATTTACTGTCGTTTAAGCAGGAGGATCTAAGCCTAAGTTTATGTTCTTTTGGTTTATGGTTGAGGTCTAGTAAGATTAGTATAACAGGCATATGCAAAAAAAAACCAGGTGCAAAATACCGTTTAAGCAGTCGGTGCAGGTACCGTTTTCGAGTAGGCGACTATTTAATCGTTTCGTTGTCATGTCGCCTACCTTTGCGTTCTTCGTTGAGTTATTTTCACGCCACTGCTGTGTTTATTTTTTATCTTTTTTAAGACTTCATCGAGAATAGAACAGTCGTAACAGGCTGCTTTCGAAAATAGAACCGGCTGGGCGTTGAAAATTTCAATTTTGAACGGAATCTTAAAAAACTGACACGTTTCGTAACGGTGCAGTGGCGTGGTTAAACTGAAAAAATGTTTGCGCAAGTATCTTGCACGTGGACGAAAGCGAGCTTCGTGACGGGATAACCTGACCGGGCGACCGTCGGAAATACAGAACATCACTGTAGTCACACCGGCCGGGGCCGATCAGCACACAGCTTTGAGTGCTGATTGATGCTGCAATTATTATGTGGAACTACGAATCCTGTTGAAATCGGAAAAAATAAATAATCTTCTTGATCAGAATGTATGCAATTTTTTGATAAATTGATAAATTGCGTGGAAGAGGGTTGATATAGCTGAAGCATGATGATATGATTGTACAGGTAATTAATATATTATTACGATAAAAATACAAACAAACATTGTATTACATCGAGTCTGACACCAGTATCGACATCATCACATCAGTATTACAGCAACTCGCTTAAAGATCAAAATAAAAAAAAATACATTAGTCAATGAAAAATTGCTTGAGATCGCGTTTTACGGATAAACTTGTCATTTGATTTTTTGTCTGGTTTAGCCAGAACCGAAAGTAATTGTATATTCTTCGACTCGGTAATAACGAAAAAACATTATTTAGACTTGTCGGGGTGTGTTCAAAAAGATGATTGATGAGTAGCAATAGCTATCCAAAATAAAGTACATACCAATTTGAAAGTGTCCATAAAAAGTAGTGATTGTTTCAAACATTAAGAGCAACCATGTTTCACCATCAAAAATAGCACGTAGTCAAATTGAGTTCCAAATAATGTTCATAGCTAAAAATTCGTGAATAACAATTTAATCACATACATGTTGGTTGGTAAACTGAGCTCTGCGGTGCCGCGGTTCGGTGTAGTTTAGCGTATCAAGGTGTGTGACGCAATCATGTTTGTTTACCGAGCGAAGTGGCTACGTGCATTTCGCGAGCTGGCGCGCTGGCACGACGTTGCCAAGTCGTGCTTGTGCCAAATTTGGCTTCATACGATGGTTGCCGGGGCCCGCATTGACAAGACCACTTTTTTCTTGCTCGCGACGAATCTTGTTTTTGAGAGACCTGGTAAAAGTTGAGAGAACTTTGCAGATTTTAGACATCGCCTTGGCTTTGTGTTCGTTCAGATGTTAGACATTTCGCCTTGTGCTTATTACGACATTTAAAACAATTCAAGCATAATTGTTATCCAAAATACAGCCGCTTTATCTGTTTTCATATTTAATCAACCTTTAACTTATCAAAGATATTTGTTTTTGTTTCAACCTAGAAATAAAGCACTTATGCAACGGAAACGTGCGTACTGCGATAATTCAATTTAAATTTTCGGACTAAGCTTGCAATCTTGTTATGAAACTGTTCCAGGTCAAATGTTCAAAGGATTAAATACGAGCGAAATGTCAGAAACATTACACTTTTAGTCAGCCTTACATTCTGCAATGGATCCATTTCGTTCGAATTTGAAAGTCGTGATATCTTTTTTTAAGCGACGTTGCCATTCAGTTGTTTTCTTTCTGAAACGTGACGATTTTGCGGATCGGTGACCGAGAAAAACGTTTAATTTCCACAAATGAAAAAACTGGAGATAACGAAGGACAGTTGATCCCGGATGTCGCGGCCAATGCTTGCGCCAGCAGCCTTGTTTCCTGCTTCATGATTTAATGGAGTTCCAAGGTGCTTCTTGTTAGAAGGTTATAAAAACAGATCTGTTAACATAGTGTCGTCTGACTACTACGCTTTATTGTAGACACTGCAGTGAAGGTCTAAATTGATTCCGATGAAGTTGCTTAGCATTGCAACGGGTCTGTGTTGGAATATTGAGTTAAAATTCTAATGATTCATGTAAGTTTAATGATTTCCTTATTATAAGTGACAATGCATTTGTCTATGTCTAAAGGAAACTAAGTGAAGAAGGAAAGGATACATTGTAAATAAAAAAAACATATATTCAGGACATTTACGTGCTATGTCTTGACATGGATTTCATTTCAATTGAGAGGATGCCGTGTTCAGAGCTGAGCATAGGATTTATGCAATGAAATTTCGTGCGAATTGGCATCGGGCGGTCCATACGGGTCAGTGGCCCGGCGTCCCGCCTCTCGTCCCCCGCGCGTTACGTAACCGCGCTGTTGCTACAC